GGGAGCTGCCTTCTCTTTGGAAATAGAGTTTTGTTAAAAAAAAAAAAAATCTCTAAGCTGGGGCCAGCGATGGGAGGAGCAAGGATGGCTGGCGTGACTTGGGGGAGCCCTCTTCGGGGTGGAGCTGGAACGCGGGTCGCATCTTTTGTCCTGCCCACCCTCTGTTCCTATTAACTCTTCCTGTCATCACCCCTCAGGGGAGGCTCGGAGAGGACATCTGTCCCCACTTTTCTGCTTAATGACTCGGTGGAACATGGAGTGCTTTTGAAACAATGCTCGTCCCCTGTACCCCGAGGATGTGGCTGGCTGCCTGTCTTCTCTCTGGGTGCCTGTGTGTGTCCTCGCACATGCCCTCTCCAGGGCGTCTGTATCCTACTTCCCTCTCCTTAGAAGGACTCCAGCCGTTGCATAGGGCTCGCCCTTGTCCCGTGTGACTTTCTCTGCGCGTGGTCACATCTGCAGTGACCCTGATTCCAAGTCAGGCCACACGCACAGGTGTCGGAGGTGAAGGTCCAACAAACCTGCTGGAGGGGCAGAGTCCAACCCCCAGCAGTCCTTTAAGAATAAGTGTCCAGAGCTCTGCTCTGTCCCTCTTTTTCTAGCTCTCTAGCTACCGCGGTCCTTAAACAGAGCTCAGAGCCTCCTAGTTGTCCTGGAGGCCATCTTCCAGGGGTTGGAGACTTCTGGGTATGGTTTTCATCATCATAAGTCCACTTGCTTTGGCAGAGATTTTTTTTTTTTTTAGTTAGTGTGTGCATATCTGTCTTCTACATTAAAGGAGGACGTTCACATGATTTTAAAAACAGAAGTTCAAGGCACAAGCAGGAAGAATCAGGGAAGTTCTGGTTTGAGAGCAGGTGTCCTCCCTCCTAGGCGCTGGGAAGGCCGAGCTGGCTGCCACGGACACCTGCAGGAGTGTGTCACTCCCAGGGCAGGAGAGGAACTGATCATTTAAAAGATGCTTGGGTCTTGAGGAGCTCTTTGGGGATGGACTGAGGGGAGAGCGGTGAGCAGCGAACCCTCCCACACACCTTGGACCGTGTTCATCTACTGTGGCCCCAGGAAAGAACAGTCTAGAAGTTTCATTGCCTTTTCAGCAATCGCTGTATTATGCCTTTGGGTATGGTGTTTATCATCCTAATAATGAAAAAAATCACTGGAAGTACTTATGCCCAGACAATAGGCATAAACTAGAACTATGCCAGGCAAATTGAGATGCATGATTCTCTCTTAGAGGATAAGACCATCCCCTTTTAGGGGGCAGGGGGAATCTCAGACCTCACCCCATTACAATGGCTGGTTGAATTGTGTTTTATAGGTACAGTGACTCTGCAACAAATTGTGTTTCTTTCTTTGCTTTGGCTTCTAGGAAGCTCGACCATATTTGTGGCCCACCTTTTGTAACTTGTGCTGGAATCACCAAGTCTATTTCTTATATTATCACTAGTTTATCTTATGCGTTAACCGTCTTCATTTCTTTTTTCTTTGCCCTGACATCTTACTCTTCTTGAAAATCTTATGCTGTGTGTTTTTGAAGCCGTTTGGATGGATCCTGTTTGAAGGAATGAGTGAATGTGTGAGTAGAGATTTGGGCAGGTGAATGGATGAACGTTTGAATGTTGGATGTATGAATGAGTGGGTAGGTTTTGGGTGTGTTTGGATATGAACCAGTGGGCAGGTAGGTGTTGGATGTGTGTGGTGTGTGTGTTTGATAGAAGGGTGGATATTTAGATCAATGGATGGGACATTAGACATTTGGGTGGAGAAAAGAGTGAATAGATGTGAGGATGAGTGGATTTTTAGGTTGCAGGAGAATGGACGTCTGGCTGAATATGTAGATAGATGCCTGCATGGATATTTGGATATATGGATAGGGGCCAGGGATATAGCTCAGCGGCACGGCACCTGCCTGGCAAGCATGGGGTCCTGAGTTCAATCCTTGGTATCCCTGCCCAAAAAAAGGTGAATGGGTACATGGTGGATTCTTGCTCAATCAATGGATAGGCACATGTGTGATTGGATAAATGAAAGGGTGGCCAACTAACTGAATATTAAATGGGTTATTTTAATATAAATAAATAAATGGAAGAAAGGTTGGACAGGTATTTGAAAGGATAGGTTATGGAGTAAACAGATGAATGGATAGTTGGTGGGTAGGTGGCTCTGGATAAATGGATGGCTGGCTGGCCAGCTAGTTATTTGGGTAGATGGACAGCATGCAGCCGTGCGTACGTGCATGTGTGTGTACGTGTGTGCGTGCCTGTTGGGGGGATGGGGAATAAGTAGGAGGATAGAGGGGAATGGGTGTTGGATGACTCTTCCTTGGCATTCTGTATAAATGTCCTAAGGGTGAAAGAAAATGCATAAAGCATGTTGCCAGTGACACATGTGACAAACATTCTGACTTATGAGAAAGGACGGGAGCTCTATTGACCGAAAGACCTTTGTTCTGATCCTTGCCCAACCACTTACTGTGTGACACAGAGCAGTTACCTAACCCTTGTGTGCTTTAGTTTGCTCACCCATAAAAATGGAGCTAAAATACCTGTTCCAGAGGGTTGCTGTGAGAATTAAAGGGCTGGCGTATGTTTCAGGAGTAGATACTGGCTCACTTCCTTCTGAGGCACAACGTGAGAGAGAATCCTTTGCCCAAGGATGAAATAAAAGCCCTTTCTCCTTGTCTGACTAATGCAACATAAGCTGCACTGCCACCTGGGAGCAAGAGTAGTTAGCAGTGGCACGTGCCGTCCGGGTGAGACTGAGAACTCTCCAGGCCCAGAGGAGGGAGTGCTGGGTCAGGTCAATCAGAGATGATGCTCGTGCCAGCAATAATGGGAGCAAGTGACCAGTCGGCAGCCGGTACCCATGTTAAGGATACAGGAAACTGCACTGGTAGCTGATTAGATTAGACAGAGTGTGGAAGGAAAACCATATTCACTGCAATGGAAAACCTCAGGAAAGTACAGCTCAGCGAATTAAAGTTGGGTTCTACTGCCTTTGGGGTGTGATGTAGATGCAGGGAGAAGGGACTGGACTGGTGTATCTGGGCTCTGAAGAAAGGTCACAGCTGCAAAGGGAGACTGGAAAGCAATCAGCGTCGGTTGGTTTTCATAAACCTATGCATCCTTTCAATAAACAGTCTTACGCCCTTCTTTGATGTTACTCACAGTTACTAAGGGTAGTAAACAGCAGGATTCAGAACAGTTCAAATGAGTTGCAGAATCTAGTCTGCTTCACAGCTGATGTACATGGCCCCTCAGGCAAAGCCTCCTGACTCTTGGACCTCTGGAGACCCAGGCTACTTTGTCCATCCCTCACTGGCTGGGAAGGTGGACACCAGGAGTCGGCCGAATAGCCCAGACCTTGTACTCTCACTGTCACTTCTGATGCTTTCCATGAAGTCATCCGGTCTGCTCTGGGTGTGCTTGGCAGGCAGGAGTCAGGGCAGTGCTTAGTCACCTCCAGGGCAAGGAGGGAGCTTACTGCCTACAGCGCCATCCTCTGCTCTTCAGACCTGCTTCCCTACCATGGAAGTTAATTGGCCCCCATGGCTTCCCCTACTGCCAGCAGCTCTGCCTGCTGGACCAGCAGGGAGCTCTGGTCTTCCTGGGGCTGCTCCTCAGGCCACTGAGGAAGCGTTCGGGCCCCTCTTCAGGCTCCTCTCCTTTCTCCTCCGGCTGGTACCTTGCCTGCTCTCTGAGGCTGAACTCCACCTTAGAGTCCTTCTCATATTGGATAAGGGAAGGACTGCTTCTTCCCACTGGGTTACCTCAGGAGAGTCACTTCCGGTTCTGTATCCGCTCTGTGTAGAACTTCCGCTTCTGGTTCTGCTGCTGGTCACTGCCCTCTCCCTCTCTCCAGAGGTTGTTCTGGAGCCTGTGGAAGTCATACTAAGATGCGTCAGGCCAGGGAGTATTTGGCCCCAGAAGACGCAGTGCCCCCAGCCATGGCTGACGGTCTGCCTGTGCCAGAAGCCTTCCCTGCGAGGTCGATCCTGGGTTTAGAATCCCTGGGGCTCCAGAGCCAGGCTGCCCTGTGGGGAGCCCTGTGTACCACTTCCTAGGTGTGTGAGCTTTGGCAAGGTTTTAGCCTCCCTGAGCCTGTGTTTCTTCCATGTCCTTGTAAAGTTGGACAAATGATAACGGTGTCTACATCCTGAGTTAGTGTGGAGATTGAGGAGACAATGACACGTAGTCTTATGACCAGGACTAGAGTGAGCAGAGGCAGCTCCTTGAATGTTAACTGGGTGTGTTCCTATTCTTCTCTGAGGTGTTCCTATTCTTCTCTCTGGAGCTCCAGAACTGATAGCCCTTTGACCTCTGATGGAAAATGTTGAAAAAGACTTATGACAGCAAAAAGGGTGACCTTTACAAAGGCCATTGGCCATTGTTTATAAAACAGAAGCTTTTGTTATACCAAGGGAGCCGGAGGTTGAAATTCAGACGCTGCAAATGGAAGGAAATTACTTGGGGGAGTTAGTGGACTTTTCTTTCATTCCAGACATTTTCATTCCAGGACTTTTAAGTGATGTGTAAAGTTGATTGCACTGCATTTCCCCTGCTGCAGGAGAGCCAGTTTTCAGGGATTATAGACAGGATCCCCACATAGCATGGGTGCTGAGAGGCTTCCGAGGAAGCCAGAGCCAGAGTCTTGCCTGTTTCATCATGGTAGGAATTGGAAGTCACTCACAGATACCCAGCACATGGCCCCACTCCGCCACCCGGCTGCCAGCCAGGATTTTCATTTTTTGTTTGTTTGTTTGTTTTTGGTTTTTTCTGGTACCGGGAATCGAACTCACGACCTTGCACTTGCCCCGCAGGTGCTGTACCTCTGAGCTAAATCCCCAGCCCCCAGAATCTTCATTTTTATAACCCCATCCCCTAGGAAGAACTTCTCTGTCGAATCATCACTCCATCACCCACATCCCCATAGCTTCAGCAGCGGCGGGAGAGGGGACCCCAGGCTCTTCCTCTGATACCTCTGTGTTGCTCACCCCGCAGACATCGACGAGTGTGAGAACGACTACTACAACGGGGGCTGTGTCCACGAGTGCATCAACATCCCGGGGAACTACAGGTGCACCTGCTTTGACGGCTTCATGCTGGCACACGACGGACACAACTGCCTGGGTGAGTGACGCCGCCGCCTGCCCTGTGGGCCCGCCGGCCTGTTTCCCAGCTCTGGCTCTCAGCGCCAGGGTCTGTGGGAGTCTTGCCCTCCTTTGGCTCCCTGTATGATTTTGCTCAGGCTGCTGCGCAAAACACCGCAGGCTGGAAGGTTTAAACAACACATTTAAGCTGGTCTCACGGTTCCGGAGACCGGAAGTCCAGGGTCTCGGTACCAGCCCCTCTGGCCTTTCCGCAGCCTCTCTCTTTGACTTGTAGATGGCTGCCCTCCTGCTCTGCCTGCATAGGGTCTTTCTTCTGTGCGTGCCTGTGTTCCGTGTCTCTCTGTGTCCTCACGGGGACGCCCATCCCATTGAATAGGCCCATCTAACAACTCCATTTTTATTTAACTCTTTAAAGGTCCTATTTTCAGGTATAATTCTATGTAGAAGTACTAGGGATTGAATTCCTTCAGTGTAAGAATTTTGAGGGGACACAGCTCACAATCTCTGTGTGATAGACTGGGACCCTCCGTACTGCGATGGTTTAAATATGCTTCAGGCCAATTTCATAAGGTTTATAAGTGTAAACTTGGGAAACAATAGGAGTGGAAAATCTGGAGAGCGTTTTAGTTTTGCTGGTGTATTTATGCGCTGCTGTCTTTTGTCTGCCCAGGTGTGTTTTGACGGCAGTGCTGGGCCAATGTGCAGCAGGCTTTGTTGTTCGCTTTTCTCTTTCACACCGTGTACGTCTTGGGCATCTTTTTGTGCCCCCCCACCACCACTGTTTTCTAGTTGCGCCATAGTCTGATGAATTGCTAATCATTGTATAAGTTTCCGAGGACTGCCATAATGAATTTAAAAACTGCTTAAGGGCCGAGAATATAGCTCAGTGGCACAGCACCTGCATGATAAGCACAAGGTTCTGAGTTCAATTCCCAGTACAAAAAAAAAAAAAAAAAACTTGCTTAAGCAACAAAGATTTATTATCTCACATTTCTGGAGGTTAGGAGTCTAAAATCAAGGTATTAGCAGAGTGGTTCCATCTGAGAGCTGTGGACCCATCTGCCTCAGGGCCCTCCGCTAGCACATGGTAGCCTCAAGTATTCTTTGGCTTGGAGCTGGTGATGTTCCCCGTGTCTTCCCACTGTCTCTGTGTCGAAATTCCCCCACCATAACCACCCCATCTTCACCTGATCATCTGCCAAGACTGTATTTCCATGAAAGGTCACACAAGCACTGAAGGCATGGTGGCACACAGCCATAATCTCAGCACTTGGGAGGCCGAGGCAGGAAGATTCCCGTGTGTTCGTGGCCAGCCCGAGTGACATAGTCAGTTGAAGGCCAGCCTGAACTGCATAGTGAGACCCTGTCTCCAAAGAAAAAAAAACAAAATCAAAAACACAAGCACTGTGAGCCAGAACTTCAGCATCTGCTGGGGAGACACCACTCAACAAATAACTGAGGTGGTTCCCAGTCTGTCACACAAGAACAGCGTCTCGTGGTAGAAAGTGCGTGGCTGTCAGAACTGACCTGCCCATGCCCAGCCTCTTCTGCCGCTGGCAGCTGGGTGATGAGGGGCACAGCAGCGGGAAGGTAGAGAGCAAGAGTGTGGGTCTGGCAGGAGCAGGGCCGTGGGTACACTGTTGCGCTGTTGGGTCTCCGTCCCTTGCTGGTGGAGGGAGGCTGTCAGGAGCAGCTACACACAGGGCCCCCCTGAGCAGGAACCGAGAGAGTGTCCCAACCACTGAGCCACAGGCCTGGCGCAAGGCTCTCCTTTGATGCTATTCACAGTTAACACTGTGGCTGGTCCTGTCATCCTGTCATCTCAGAGCTCCATCGCCACTGTAGAGCAAAAGTACCGTGCTGCCTACATCACCAGGTTGTGTGTAAGGACGAAATGACATCATAAAGCTACCTGAAGGGGCCGGGCATATAGCTCAGCGGCACAAGCGCCTGCCTGATAAACTCAAGGTCTTCAGTTCGATTCCCGGTACCAAAAAAAAAAAAAAAAAAAAGCTACATGAGTGGTGCTTAGTAAATGCTAAATAGTCGACACACGTGCATTATTATTACTCTAGATGACTGGGCCGCCTGTCCATGGATATTTGTTTTTTTATTTTTCTATCGGAAGCCAGAGGTGATTCTGAGCATAACACTTTTCCTTTTTTTTTTTTTTTTTAATTTTTCATTTTATTTTAAAAGGAATAAAAAAATAACAAAATAACAACAGAGACAAAAACCAAACAAAGCAAAAATAATAAAAATGATACAGAGTTGCAAAACAGAATGATAAGAATTAACCGCGGTTGTTATATTACATATTGTTGCCTTCAATGAAGTTGCTCAGATTACCAGATGTAAGAATGCAAGATGGATCAAACCATTCACGAGAATAAAAAATAATTTAAAAAAAAAAAAAAAACATTAGAAGTGATACAGAGCTTCGCTAGACAGGAGGGTAGGAGTTCACCAGTGGTGGCTGTATTGCCTATTATTGTCTCCACATTAGTTGCTCAGATTACCAGATATAAGCAGAGCACAAGGCTTTTTCTTTCGTGTTTTCCTAAATGCTCCTTGAGGAACGCTTCCCACAAGTGGAACTAAAGGGTTTAAAGATCATTTGGACTTTTAATGGGCGTCTATGGTGTGCTTCCAAGAGGGCCCGGCAGACCTTGCGTCACGCCCGCCGGCTTGCGGGCGCGCGGGGTAGGCAGCTCGACAGCTCGACGCCCGCGGTGCTCCGGGACTTGGCCTCTTCGTGCCGTGTAGGCCCCGAGTTCCCTGCCTGTTTTTGTTTAGTGCCTGTTAGGCCTCAGATGATCTCGTTATGGGAAACAGATCTGTGAATGTGTAATTACACCACAAACAAGTGCCAAAACAGAGGTCTGGGCAGCGAGTCCCTGAGCCCAGAAGGGCCTGCGCAAAGAGCTAGCCTGAGATGGGGTGCGGTGGTGGTGAAAGTGGCGCTGGGGGGGCTTCAAAGAGGCGGCAGCGCTAAGCAGGGTGTCCAGGGTGGGGGGATTTTCGAGGCTGAGGGTATGGTATGTGGAGGGTGGTGGCAGCTCCTGCAGGCTGGGCTCAGGCTGTGCTGGGGGATGGCAGAGCCGGGCAGAACCTCTCAGTAGGAGTGGTGTGACTTTTACCATGCCACACACCAGGCTGTCGTGTGTGAGTGTTTTCTCATGCAGCCCTCCCAGAACGAAGCGCTCCGCTTCTCCTGTTGTTTGCATCCTTGCAGATGTTAAGGCTGGTTCAGGAATTGACAGGGCAGTGCAGAGCTCACCGTCCCTCCGGCTCTGCCCAGGAGAGGCAGGCAGGAATCCCCCGTGGCCAAGAGGACAGACCATGGGGACTAAGGGTTTGGGGCTTTCCCATCTCCCCGCTTCTCCCTGCCTCAGTTTCCCCACCTGTAAAATGGAGTGCCTCATCCCTGTCCTGTGAGGACTCGGGGAGAGCACGGATGTGAAGCGGAGAGCAGCGTGCCTGGCACTGGCCACCTGGCACGCCCTGGGCGGCCACCTGGCCATGACTTCCGGGAGAGATGTGTCGGTGTGGGCTGGCTGGATGTCTCCAGGGTCTTGTTGGGTTCTGTGAGGCTGCAGTATGTCTGACACCTGGGGCGCCCTGCTGGCCCCAGCGCTCATCCGTTGTAAACACCCCGCGCTGGCCGCAGCAGAGGCACCCCGTTCCAGCAGCGCCCAGTCCCACGAGCCTTCAGACTGACGGTGAAGTCCGTGCAGATGTTTGCTCCGACAACAGTGTGTCCGCAGTGCATTCTTGTTACTCCGATTAATTTAAAGAGCTGGGCAGGGCCCCCCACCCCTCACGCCCCGCACCACTACCTCTACGACTCTCCAAGGCTCCAGCGCACACACAAGGCTGCCAAGAAAGGGTCTTTCTGTGCCTCTGCTCGGGACTGCGGGCAGACCCTTCCCAACAGAGTTCTTTTTGTTTGGTCTTTTCTCCTCCTCCAGACTAAACTCTGGCTCAGAGCAATGAGACCTTGGTTCCAGCCGGCTCCAATCCAGACTGATCGTGTGGCCTCGGGCTACTTGATTGACCTTCGGGAGCCCCGGCTCCCTTACCCATGAATCGCCCTAAGAATTAGATACCTGGTATGGTGTCGGGACGAGGGAGCTAAGGACACGCTGGCTGAAACAAATCACTCCCCAGTAGCATGCTGGATTTGGAACATGGCGGCTCAAATTCTGGTACCACTGTGCGTGAGTTGTAGAGTTTGGGACCAGCTCGTCAGACCCTGTCAACCTTAGTCCCCTGCCAACTATGAAATGGGTCAGTCATACCAGCCGCAGAGGAGCACCATGGGGATTAAACAAGAAGGAGAAGTGGGTGTAAAGTTCTGTCCTTGGCTACATGTTGTCACCGTATCGTGGCACAGGTTCCAAGCCCACAGCCCGCTGCCCTCATCTGGCCCTTGAGCACGTCCGCTTTGTCCCCACGGTGGTGACGATGTTTGTTGTAGTTATCACTGCATGACTTGTCAGCACATAACAACTAGGGAATATGGCATAAGAAGCGGTGTCTCCGCCACCGCTCCCGCGTGACCGCAGCCAGCCAGCCCCTGGCAGCCATGGGACTTTGGACAGAAGTACAGATGGAGGACCGTATCCCACACAACTCGCGACAGCTCTGGACAACGCTGTGCCTCGCCGCCTGTCACTGCCACCTTGGCTGACATCCCCTCCCAGTGAGCAGGAAGCTGGGTTTGAATTCTAGGATTCCTGTGCCAGGATCTCTGCTCCATCCCGCCCCAAATGAGCCTAGGGACACCCTAACCTAAGTGTTGGCGTCCTGGCCACTCACCCCCAAAGCAGCTGACCTTTTGTGTGGCTCAGACTTAAGTGGCATTTGTCTGTCTGAGAACTGGAGGCTTGGGACCCCTTGGGGAAGGAATTTGAGGGTCTCTAATACCTGGGATGTGGTTTAGAGTGGTGGGTACGTGTCCCGGATGTCCGTGATCCCTGTACCCTCCACGGACATGTGACCCTGTGAGGTGGGCTGCACTACAGGAGGGGCAGAGCAAGGATAAAGTGTGAGGTCTAGGACCGTGGTGCCCCTGGAGGGAGGGCACGAGGATGCCCCTGATTGCCCCCGTCCCTACCATTCTGCATTGCTCATAGCCGGCCGCCTTGGTCACTTACACCTGCCTGGAATTTGGAATTGTGCATGTGCCGCCCGGCAGAGCTTCCTGCACAAGCCCGCCGGGAACTCCCAGTAACTGCGAGGGGCTGGCCGAGCTGTCGGCCCGTCCTCTCTTGTCACTGCCACCTGGGGTCCTGAGCCTTCTGGTCATCGCTGAACCTCAGCCCGCAGCCGTCACAAATGGGGGAGGAGAGACCCGGCCTGGTGCTGTGTTTTCCCCAGAAGCCTGCTCACGAGTTCTGTCTAGCTGTGACTTTCCTCTGTGAGCCGCCCGCCGAATTCCTCAAGGGTGGTGGGTGGGACAAAACCGGATCACCGCAGAAAGAAGTATCAAAGTTTGGGAAGCGTTCTGCGTCGGTTAGGAGCCGTGAGCGAGGCGGATGGCGGACGGGTTATTTTCCTGCCTAGGTTTTTGCAGTTGAACCTTCTCTTTTTTCTTTTGAGTAAACGAGGTTATTTTCTCGCGGAGATGGCTTGCCTGTGGCTGTGTCCTGGAGAGAGGCCAGGTCTATCCTCCGGGGAGCGCAGCCCTCTCTCTATTTGACATCTTTATTGAGGAATTTCTCAAATATAACAGAAAATGACACCAGAGGGAATTGGAACCGTGATGAGATCTTGCCCAACCCAAATGGCTGCTTTTAGCTGCGTAATTACTTGAAATAGCAGTAGTTCTGCTTGAAAAATATTATTCCAAACTCCACACAATTGGACAGCAGAGCAATATTTAGGCTAATAGAATAAGATTTTTTTTTCATCTTAAATTAAAACCAGCAGTGGATAATTTTTTCCTGTCTCCACAGAGCAAGGCTCCTTTTACTCCAAAGCCATTAGTTCACTTAGCCAGATGTTTTCCTCGACCTCGATCTTTACCTTGACTTACTGAAAAATACGTTCCTTGAGTGGCACACAGTTTGGGTTGGGACTCGTCCCTCAGTACTTTTCCTCCCTGTCGAAGAGAAGTCATCTATAGCCGGGCTCAGCAGAATCAAGCAATTTGCGGTATGGCTCGAGTCCCGTGGGCACTTACGGGACACCTACTGTATGCGCAGCCTTGGGCTCAGACCCTTCTGCCTAGGCGAGGTGCGGGCCCTTTGGTCGGGCCTCTGCATGTTGGAGCTGCCCACAAGCCTGTGTTTGTGTCCTCTCTTGGGTCCTCAGAACACCCCTGGCCAAAAGCCAGGAGTATTGTGTTTTTAGAAATGAGGAAACTGAGGCTCAGATAGGGAAAGGCACCTACGTGAGGGCACAACAGCCAGGAAGTAGTAGACTGGGACCAGACAGAGCCCAGCCTGTGATGCTGCCAGTTCGAGACTCTGAGCCTGGCTCCCCTGCCCCATCTGACCTGGCAGCGCCCTGCTCTTCCATCCAGACCCCGCTGCACCCTCAGGAGCACCCGCTCCGCAGGGGATGGCTGCCGGGCTCCCTCGGGCCAGGGCCCTGCAGCCTCTTCCACCCGCCTCTCCCACCACACCCCGAGCCGCTCCAACCCTCTCACATCTCTGCTGTTGAAAGCCGCTCCCTACAGCAGCCCCTTGTCACTCAAGACCCAGCCCAAAGCCCCGCTGCCCGGAGTCTGCGGCCGCACTGCCCTGTGCCCCGCGCCGTGAGCCTGCACTTTCCCCCTTCTCCTGCAGGCAGAGTCGGTCCCAGGCCTTGCTCTGTCTGCCTTGCAGAGCCCAGCGCAGTATCAGGCATATCACAGGCATTTACTTAAGTGTCTTTAGCACGGAGAGAGGGCAGGTTTGTAAGCACACTGTCACTGGGAAACCCTTCACCCTGGCCGGTGAGGATGGCAGAGACCTTCCCAGCTGTAACGGGAAGTCGAGGCATGGGCTTAGCAGTGGTACCAGCGCCTTCCACCTGCCTTTAGCTGTTTGTCTAACCAGAAAAGTCAGTCTGAGCACCTGCCGTGTGCCAGAGAGCTAGGTGCTGAGACCCCTACTGTGGGGTCCAAGACTGAAACCGTTCCCATACTCTGGAACGCACACAGAGAGGAGCAGCGGACGGTGAACACGCACATGTAAGGCAGTCAAGTCAAATTAAAACAAATGCTGCAGGGAGGCGGCAGCCTTGGACGGGTAGGATTCCAGTGACTGCTGCTGCAGTCACATAAAACCGTCCTCGTAAGTGGTGTAGAACACTGTCTATTCTCCTTGTGTGCCTGTGGGTCAGAAATTCAGACAGACCCCAGCAGGAATGGCTGGGCTCTGCTCTGCAGTGTCTGGGCCTCGGCTGGAAGCCATGAAGCCTGGGTGCCCTGGTGGCCAGGGAATCATCCGAGCTGCTGCCCAGGGGTTGACGTTGGCAGGTGGCCAGAACGTTCCAGGGTTGCCTTCACATTGGTCTTTCTGGCGGCCCAGCATGAGCATCTCCTCAGCATGGCGGTAGGATCAAGCGCGTGGAACTTCCACAGTCCTGCCTCAGAAGTCGCTTCTCCAAAGCCACCCGTGACGCAGTTACAAAGGTCTGTCCAGATGTAGGGGAGGAGATGCAGGCAGGAGCCACAGGGGAGGAGGAAGAGGTGTTTGGAGGTCAAGAAGCAGGCCTGCGTCCGGGCGGAAGCAGGGCACGCGTGTGGCCCTGAGACGGAGAAAGCCAGGTGAGCTTGGGGACTGCCGTGGTGCGAAGCCCCGGGAGGGAGGCAGAGGAGCAGAGGTGAGTCCCAGTGACAGGCGGGGGCCAGATCACAGAAGGCCTCAGGGACGCTGGGAAGGGGTTCCGATTGCATGTAAGTTCACTGGCAAGCTGCGGGACCTTCTTGGCAAGGGTCTGCCCGTTCTCATTGACAGTTTAATTAAAAAGCCCTTGCTGGCTGCCGTGCAGAGAATGCGCTGCAGGGAGTAGGAAGTAGAGTGGCTTGAGCAGGGAGACCACTGCAGGTCAGCGGGGTGTCGAGGCCAGGGTGACAATGGGGGGGCGATAGCTGAACACAGAGCATGTTCTGGAAACAGCCAACAGGAGCTCCCAGTGGACCGCACGTCAGAGGGAAAGGGGCTGAGGACCCTGGCCGACCACTGGGTTTCCGCCTGGTTTTCTGTGTGGCTGTGCTGGCGTGGCCAGGGTGAGGACACGGGACCCGGGGGTCAGTTTGGCTGAATTCTGTTGGTGAGGGTCAGCAGCCATCCACGTGGAACTGGCATCAAATCCAGGCGTCTTCGGCACAGTCAGGCCCGGGAGAAACCATGAGAGTCGTCAGCTTCGAGAGGCCTTTGAAGCCAGAGGCAAGAGCTCGGTATTCATTCATGTTATAAAGGTTTCCCAGGCGCCTGCCCTGTGCCACGCCCTTGCTGGGAGCTGGCAGTGGGAAGACAGTGCCGTGTTCCTTGCCACCATAGAGCCCCGACCCCGTCACTTACTGTGTGAGCTTGGGCAAGCGACTAGCTTCTCGGGGCCTCGGTAGCGCCTTCTATAAGCTGGGGCCGATGGGATGGCCTTGCTTAGTGCCAGGGAAGAGGCAGGAGCCAAAGGCGATGAGCCCTGCCAAGGCCTCTACAGGTGGGAATGAGCTTATTGTCACAGATTCCTGATGGGAGCTACCTCCCTACCCACCCCCCTTTTTTTTGAGACAGGGTCTCGCTAAGTTGCTCAAACTGGGCTCAAACTTGTGATACTCCTGCCTCAGCCTCCCAGAGTGCTGGGACTACAAGCATGTGCCACCACACCATGTACCCAGCCTGTGTTTTTGAGCTGGCAAAGAGGCTGGGCCTCAGGCCGAAGGTGAAGCCCTGGCCAGGACTTGCTCCTTGCAATCCCCACGTGCTCCTACGTCCCAGCGGGAATCTGCCACCTTCTTGCAGTGGTCCTTGTGGCCCTCCTCCCTTGGCCTGGGGCCGCGTGACCTCAGGGCGCCCACTCCCACCCTGGGAGTGACCTGGGTCCTGTCGCCTCATCCCACAGCGTCTCAGTTTCAGTCTGCAAAATGGGGCAGCCCCTCTCTGTGAGGATCAGGTGAGGTGACAGCCGTGTGGGTGCCAGACGGAAGGCGCTGAGGAGGAGCCGCAAGGCGCTGGGGGCTCCCGGCCAGGCCAGAGCCCCGCTGCACGGGGAGGACATCGCTCGGATGCCCAGAGCTCGCGTCAGGGAGCAGCAGTGGCGGCCCTGATGAAAGGGCTCGCCCGCCTCCCCCGACCACAGCTGGAGACAACGTGCTGCTGCCTGGAAGCCCAGCCACGGCCCCAGCGCCGCTGTTTATTTGTCTTCATACTTCAACAGCTCGAATGCATTTCTTACCAGGAAAAAAATGCTGACCATTTTAATGTAAAACTAAACAGCTTCGGACAGGCAGCTCCGTGTGTGTAAACACCAGTGTTTTCTAAGGTGAAGCCAAGAGGTCTCTTCCTGGGCTCTTCGTGCCTACCCCGCCCCCTGCTGCTTCCGAGCTCTTGGCCCGAGTTCAAGTGATCCAGACATGCCTGGCTGCGAGGATTTGCTGTCAGAGAGCAAGTGGGATGTGGGGCCAGTTCTCCTCTGGCTTCGCTCGGCCACTAATTGGCTGGAAATTCCTTGTCCTGAGGAAAAGGAGCACGCAGGACAATGTGACGCATCTTTACGGATGAGCTTCCCTCTCCCCAGATCACTGCAAAATCGAGGTGTGCCGGCGAGGGCCGGCTCAGAATGGGGGAGCAGGGCTGTCAGAGTGCAGGGAGCCCAAGGAGGTGCTGGGGTCAAGGGGCAGTGGGTGGAGCCAGGCTTTTCGAGCTATTGACTTGCTGGGGGACCCCAGGAAATGCCTCGATCCTTTGTGCCTGGTTCCACTTCCCATGTGAAGGAAGAGTGGGCTCCCAGCAGTTTTCATGTTGGTGCAGTTTAATGACACCATGCCTCCTTTTCTCTAAGAATCACACAGTGCCGACACTGCCCAGGCTGAAAGGGGGTCAGGCATGGTGGGGATGGGAGCCCTGCTGGCCGTGGAACCTGTCCCTACTCCTGTGAGCCCCTGGCACCCCAGGAACATGGAGTGAACCCTCTAGCTAAGGGCTTTTCCCTGCAGCATCTTGGGACTGGGCAGCTGATGTCCATATGATTTGGCCTCAGGGACATCTGCATCTTTCTGCATCTTCATCACAGTAACACAGGGTCCCTGTCCACCTCTCACCCCTCGTTTCTCAGGGCTGAGGCCTCCAGCAGGCAAACAGCTGTCCTTTCCCTGACTGCACACGCTCCTGCGCTCACACACGCCCTCCTGCACTCACACATACCCTCCTGCGCTCACACCTGCCCTTCTGCACTCACACACGCCCATGCTGCTGCTGAAATCAACTTCCCAGCCCGAGCTGACAGTTCTGCTCACCCCTGCTTGGCCCTCAGCTCTTTGCCACATGTCATCCCTGGAGAATCCCGCTGAACTGCACACCCTCACCTGGCAAGCCTGCCACTCGGCTGGGAAGATGTGCTGGTGCAGATTCCTCCAGGCCAGGTCCTGATGGTGCCTGTTCCAGAGGTGGGAAGGATAAGGCCTTGGGAGCAGCCGCACCGGCCTCAACTCCCGACTCCCTTCCTAGCTGGTGGTTTGGGGCCAGCTCTGTGCTGTCACCGCACTGCCACCGTGCGCAGTGGCCATGGTGCACCTCCCCCTCTTTTCCCCCCACCTCCGTGTGTCCAGGTTGGGGTTGCGTCACTGTCGCCGGCTGAGGTCGGAGTGTTGTTTGTGGTCTCCGTTGTCCTCCCCCTGAGTTTAAATCCGTGTCGCTCCGCCCCGTGCCAGCACCATCTCTGCTTGGGTCTTGATTTGGTGGCTGCAGAGAGAAGCTCTGCTCCGTCCTGGGCAGAGAATACAAGTCCATAAGCAGCAAAGGAAAACAGCGCACCGTGGACGAGGGCAGGCCAGGCGGGCAGACGCTTGCTCCGTCTGTTCCCGTGCGAGGTCCCCGTGCCAAGGCCAGGTCAGAGCTCTAAGGAATAAAAAAGAAGTAAGTGTCTTGGGAAGCTTCTTTAAAAATACCCTGTTACCAAAACATATGCCCAAGCCAGAAGTGGCGGCATGGGCCTAAAATGGGGCATTCGCAACAAGTGTGGGTGTGTCAGTCTCCAGCCCAGCATCCTTCTGCCAACACTCTTGTTTGTCTTGGAGCGACTGGGCCCCGGGCAGTGTTTGGGGTCACTGTGGACACACGCAGGCAGGGGCCTGTGGTTTCTAGTGGCCGTTAGCCAGCCCTGGGTGTCAGCCTGCCCCAGCATCCCTCCTTGTCACCAACCTCGTCCCAGCAGCTAGAAATAGACAGTTGGCAGAGATGCCCTGTGCCCGGCTGGCACTCTTTATTTGTAGGAAGTGGGCAGCTGGCTCCTTTGGTCTGGGGTCTTATGTAACCTCCCAGGTACTGTCTTAGTGCCAGGGGCAGGATCCCACAGGCCAGCTTGGTGCTGCAACCGCCCCCAGCTCATCTGCCAGCCACCAAGGGCTCAGATACCGGGGACCGGCCATTGGCGGAGGCCCCTCTGAGTGTCTGTAGGGTCCTTGTGGCCAGTGGGGAGTCTGACTTCCTCCCTGTGAGATCCCCCTGTCATCTGTCCCCTGCCTGCCACTCCAGCCTGTCCTTGGGCCTCTGCTGCCCCTGGGGCCCTGTGCATCCTCTCCTCCACCTGGGAGACCCCTACCTGGCCTGGCACCACACATAGACACAAACACACACACACACACACACACACACACACACCTCCACCTCCTCCCTTGCATTAGAATCAGACTGAGTCACAAAAGTCTTTTACGTACCCACCTTCCACACATACAGTAATTACACAAAGCCATGCAGAGCAAAGATAGCTCCCCACTATCTGCCCACCCTGCGCGTGAGCAGCTTGACATCCCGGTGTTCCATCCAGTACAGTCCGCCTGCAGACACAGCTCCACATGGCCGTAAGCATCACATGGATGCATGCATGCTGCCCCACCTGCTGTCAGAACCCGCTTTGTGGATGCAGGGCCACGGGGCAGGATGTGGGGACCCAGCCACCACTGGGCGCCGGGTGAGAGCCGTTTCTGGCGGGGACAGCAGAGGTGCCCAGGAGATGTGATAAGTCACGTGGCCCCTTCATGCCCATTGCTCCAGCTTGGGCCTTCTGAGGTTGGGTAGAGCTGGCTGCCCCTGGGCGCTCCTGGCCATATGGAGAAATACTTGTACCATAAGCCTTTGTGTGATGGATACCAGGAGTGTGGGGTTGGGGCTGGGCAGGGAGGACTTTCTAGGGAATAGGAATAGCACGGACAAAGCCAAGAAGCAGGTGAGCTTGGCCAGGTAGCAGAGTGGGCAGCAGGGCAGTGCTTTAAAAGGGGATCTCCGGTCAACAGAGCCAGGCTTGCCTGATGCTGGCTGGTCCAAGACCTGGAGGTTCGTGCCCACGGCCGTAGGATGCCAGAGCCTCCCCATTGCTCAGCTTGGCTCCCAGTCCTTCCCTCCACACCCTCAGGGCCCTGCTGCTTCCACTGCCTCAGCAGACAGACAGACAGATGCACACACATGCACAGACCTGTGACCCCACGTCCTGCTCCAGGCAGGCCTGTCCCTCCCTGGTCCCTGGCCAGCCTAGATGGGGCCCCACCTCACACACACACACACACACACATACACACACTGCTCGGCCGCTGTCTTCACGGCCTCCCTGTCCCCACAAAGTGCTGCTCCCTGAGCCCAGACCTGGCCTTGCCCTGTGTGGGGGCCCAACAGAGTGGTGGATGGGCTGGGAAAGGCCACCACAGCAGGGGCCTGCATGTGTGACACGGGACACACCGCCGGGGCAGGGACACTGGTCCAGAATGGGGAGGGCTCACACACTGCCCCCAGGGCCCCCCTTCTGGGAATCTGACTGCAAGAGATGGTCCCCAAAGCGGAAGGGGCTGCACTGCTCCACACGCCCTCCTCGGAGGCTGTCACAAGGCCTGCCACAAGCACAGGCCCAGGCTGGGCACCACTTGCCAAGTGGCCAGGCGAGGCAAGGAGGTCACTCAGGGCCGAGGCACAGCTCGGGGACCCTTCCCTTCAGCCTGAGAGAGGCCTCAAGGGCCACATACAGAACAATGCACACAAGTAGAAAACCAGCACATGAGAAAAGAGACGGCGCATACTGGCCGTGGTAGTTGTATCTGGTGTAAGATTATTGACCCATTTTTCCCTGCTGTTCTCAGAATTCCCTGTAAATTCAAAATCTTCGTAAAACAGTTTCATAGGACAAGGGGCAAGACTCATGGCAGCTTGTACGTGTGTGTTTTTTAGACATGGTCTCACTATATAGTTCAGCATGGCAAAGCCTCTGCCTCCCGAGTGCTGGGATTACAGGCCTGCGCCACGGTCCCGGCTCGTGGCCGGGATCTGGAGGGAGGAATAGCAGGGACAGGAGGTGGCCACAGGGGGTGAAGCGGCGGACCAGGCAGGCCTGTCCTTTCCCTCCGGTGCGTCCACCAAGCTCTGGAGCTAAAAAGGAAGCAGCCCCCATGCCACAGCCAGCTCAGAGTCACACAGAGCGTGAGGCAGAGCCCTCGGGGTGAGTGTGCAGCTGTCTCCTCGCGAAGACCTCTCGGGCTGGGAGAGGACGCTAGCAAGAAAAGAGCCGCCACACGCCCATGGCAGCCTGCGCTCACCAGCTTTAGGAGGGGGAAGGCGCCAGGCACCAGCGGGGAGAAATCAGCTCTGAACGCTGGGCCATCAGAGGCCGGGGGTAAATCAGTGCCGGGGGGCTGATGCCAGGAGGACCTAATGGGCCTGTGTCTGTGGCTGTCTGGGGAGCCCTGGGTCCCCTCAGGGAGGGCAGTGTTTCTGGGAGGAGCAGGGCCCCGAGCTGCTTCTCCACCGCCACACCTGGTGCCCAGGTGCTCGTTCCGACCCTGCCCGAGCACCCCCCGCCTTTCCCTGGGCGCCGTTTGCTTCCCTAGCTTGTTTGTTTGCTTCCCTCCTTCCCCTGTACCGGTCCTCCCTTCTTACCCCATCAAAAGAAACTTCAAGAGCCTGAGCTTCCCACAGATGTCTGTCTGGGAGCACATTCCCAGATGTGTTGTCGGCGCCCGCAGGGAAGGAAGCTCACTGGCCGCTCCCGCCTGGCCCTGTCGCCTGGCTGGGGCCGGCAGGCTGCTGCCCCCCCCCCCGAGTCCCCTCCTGTCTGCACCTAGCGACCAGCGAGGAAGCTGAGGCGGGGCCAGCAGGGACAGGCAGTGACACAGGTCTCTGCTGTGGCCAGGGCCTCAGTCTCCGCCCAGCTCCGGGGTGCACGGACTTCCAGGGTGCCCGGAACCAGTAGCGCTCAAGACAGACACAGCCATGGCCCCTGCTCCCGGCCCTGTGTGGGCAGAGGTGGAGGGGAGCAGTCACGGAGGAGGCGCCAGCGCGCTGGAAGGAAGCAGGGTGGCGAGCTGAGGGGTGGCTTCTCTGCTGCTGTAGGTTGGTGGCCCGGAGCATCTCCAGGAACATGGCCTGTGAGCTGAGGCCTGGAGGAGGAGCCAGATGCACCACATTGGGGGGGCATCCCAGGCAGAGTCACAGGGCCCTGCGGTGGGGACAGGAGAGGCATGGTCAGGGAGGGCGGGGACGCAGCAGAACTGAGTCACGGTGAGAGAGGCTGGCGGGGTGCAGCCAGAGTGGTCCCTGAGGTTGGCCAGGAAAGGGTGTGTGTGTCCTCGGGGCCTTGCAGGCAGCAGGTGGCACAGCTGGCTGACACTTGGAGGTCCCAGCCAGCTGCCAGGGACAAAGAAGCAGGGAGGCCGGGCCAAGGGAATGGCAGGAAGCAGGCAGAGTGAGGGTGAGCAGGTGGCCTTGCACCTGAGGTTTTGGGGCAGGCAGAGCCCACAGGACTGGGCCTGCTGAGGGGATTGAAGTGGGGAGGGCAAAACCATATGGAGGTCGACGACCAGGTGTCTGGGCCCAAGAGACCTGGTGGGCGCCGCTGTATGCAGAGGCGGGAGCTGTCCTGCGCCTGTAGGAAGCGGGGCATGGGTTCAGCTCAGGTGCTGGTAGCTTAGCGGTGTGTGCTTCAGAGCCAGCGCGACAGCCTCCGTCCATGTTCAGGGGCAGTGGAGTGGGCAGAGTAGAGGTTTGGGCAGCCGGCTGATGGGTGTGGGTGAAGCCAGGGCATGGGGATTTCCTGGGAACAGTGTGTAGCTGGGGAAAAGCGGAGCCCAGCCGCCCGCCCGCCCGCCCCACCCCTGCCTGAGCACCTGGTGCCAGGCCTGGCCCCGCTGCTCTCCAGGAGGTGGTGTGCACAGAATGGGAGAGATGGGTCTAGCATCTGGGGTGCAAGAAGGACCCTTGGAGCTCAAGACAGCCCAATTTCAAAACAGGCGAAGGGTTCAGAAAGATGTCTCTCCAGAGTGATATGCAAACAACCAGGAAGTACAGGAGGAGGTGCTTCCTGTCACGGGCAGCTGGAGAAATGCAGATCAAAGCCCTGTGAGACAGTGTACCCCACAGGAGGATGGCTGTGAAAACAGAACAGAAAAGAACAGGTATTGAGCAGAGGTGGGGAACCAGAAACCTAATTCTTTGCTAGTGTGAAGGTAAAATGCTGTGGCCTGTGGAGAAAGCTGGGAAGTTCCTCAAAAAGTTAGACATAGCATTACCATATTGTCTAACCATGGCGCTCCTCCGTATATATCCAAGTGAATTAAAAACATCCACAGAAAAACTTGGCCATAGCATGTTGCATAGCATATTCATAGCATCATCGTAATAGCCAAAAAAATAGGAATAAGCCAAATGTCCATCAACTAGAGAACAGCTAAACAAAATAGTGCATGCTATAGAATATTATACAGCCATAAAAAGTGAAGTTCTGATACATGGCACAACATGGATGAAACATCATGCCCCGTGAAAGAAGCTAGACACAAAGGACAGATATTGCATACTTCTAGTTATCTGGAAGCTCTAGAGTAGGCAGGTCTGCAGAGAAAATAGCTTGGTGGTTGTCAGGGGCTGAGGGAATTAAGAATTAATTGAAAATAGACAAGGCTGCTCTTGAGAGTGAGGGACATGTTCTGGAACTGGTAATTATGGTTACACAACATAGTCAGTATACTAAAAGCTGCTAAGGGGGTGAATGTGTTACGTGAATTCTGTCGCAACAACAAAGAAGTGAAGAAAGACAGGAGGTGGGCATGGAGCGCACGGGGAAGCTGTCACACCCTCCAAGCAGACCACACACAGACGTGTCCGGCTCTGGGCCATGGTAGCCCCTCAGGAAGTGGGGTCCCCAGAGGCGGAGGTGAGCAGCTGAGGCTGAGTCGGAAGGAGGCGGCTCGGGGAGCCCAGGCGGCGTCACAGGGAGCCTGGTGACTGAGGTGGGCTGAGCGATCTCCTCGGATGTGGCCGCTGTCACATTCCCAGGCTGCAGGGACTGCGCCACCCACCGAGCCCCGCCTGAGAGTCCTTTGTGCAGCAGCTGCTCTGCTCTCTGTGGTTTTGGGGACCAGGCACTGTGCTGAGTGCCTGGACACCTTCGACGTCTCCTCCAATGCCAGGACCAAGGAGGAAGCCCAGGCCTCAGATGGCGAAGCAGCCGCACAGCAGTTTCTTGCTGCCCATTGGACCCCGTCTGGCACAGCTGGTGGAAAAGGGGCCAGGTCACAGGGTCACACCGCATGGACTGCCCTAGTGAGGCACGGCCAGCGGCCTGAGCCAGCAGCACATCCCCGTGCTTAGCGACATCGGGGAGTGGGAGGCCGCAGGGCAGCAGCTGGGGCCAGAGGGTTGGTGTTGCGGCCCCACAGGGCCTGTCCCTCCCGGCCTGCTCCGGCCTGGAATGCTGACCCCACTCATGTGCCTCATCTCCCAGCCTGCGCTGCACTCGCACCCAAGCCCGGTCCAGCCCAAGGGGATGCACACAGCCGACCTGCTGTGCCATCAGGAGCCTGCACCGACGCCCATGCAGGCAGCAGACAGGGCCACAGGACTCTGGCTGTACCCCTGCCTGCCTGTGTCAGAGCTCTCAACAGCTCGGGGAGTGTTCTGCATAGGGCAGAACCCAGGCCCCAAAGCTGTAAGACCCGTGTGTATTTTACCCGAAATCGAATCCATCTGGTTCTCATTTATTTACACTTAACTCATCAAATGCAATTTTGCAAGAGCCACTCACTCCTCACTCTATGGCCAAGAGGCTTTTCTGCCTAAGCCGCCCTCGGAGGGGAGTCGGGGAGGGTCAGGCTCAGCCTGGGGCCAGATGGAACGCTCAGAGCCGGAATGGAGGGCTCGGAGGATGTGCCTCTGCCCGTGTTCCTGCCCTGGGCAGGAGCTGGGGCAAAACAACCCAACACCGGGTCGGCTCCTGGTGGTCATGGAGATGCAGGCGGGGTCTGAGCAGAACACGGAGTCCCTGTTTTGAATCATGAAACATTCACAGGACACAAAGCAACCAAAGCTGGATCCGGAAGTAATTTTGAGTTATAAATAACCTCCGACCTGGGTTTTTGGTCCAAAGCAGGATAAACAGGCAGCTATTAATAAAAACAAGCACCAGCATCATGGCCCGAAGCTCTGCCCCCGTGGGCACAGGGCGCCACAGGCCTCTCGGAGACAGAGCCACCTACGGCCTGCGGAGAAACAGCCCCGCCCACCGCAACGCAGGGGTCGCGTCCCCAGCTGGCGGGGTCGGGTGGGCACCTGTGCTGTGAGGAAAGAGCCCCACCTCAGTGCCAGACCAGGGAGCTACAGAGTGAGGCAAGGAAAGCCTGGGCCAGAGGGCAGTTGGGATTTGATCTTTGGGGTCAAGGTGCCGAGTCCTGTCCCAGCAAGAACCATCTGCAGCTCCTGCCCCCAGAAAAGGGATCGGGACGTGGGGCAAAGGCCGGGAGAGCTGGGCACAACCAGAAGGGAGCGCATTTGCCCACAGGTGCCAGCTGGTGCCGGCCAGGGTGACAGGGCTGTGCCCGTGCCCTCCCCAAGCTGGGCCTTGGGGTCCTCTCTGCACTCTGGGTCCTTCGGCCACGCGGCCACTTGGAAGGGTTTCCTGTTCTCCAGCTCTGTCCCCGTGCCAGAGGGCTCCCCGCCTTCTCAGAACCTTCCGCTGTGTCTGTAAATAAGGACACAGGCCTGTGAGGTGTGGGCAGGACTCGGGGTCGGGGCCTGGCTCTCCCAGTGGACCCTGCTCAGGGATGAGCCCCTGGGTGGGACAGGGGGCTGCTGTCCCCAGCCTAAATAGGACCCAGCTGACACGACTCCAGCGTGGAGCTGTCACCTGATTTAGCGCAGGTCACTCTACCTGCTCTTAACCTGCCCATACCTTTCAGGTCCCACAGTGAAAGGAGCTGTATGAAATTCTCAGGGTCCTGGGCCCTGTCCTGGAAACAGGCCATCAGGGCCCTCAGTGCACACCGGCTCAGCGCGGCCCAGGCCTCCTGGGAGGGGTGCTGCGCTCATCAGCTCCGCAGTTACCATCTCTGCCCCGCTCCTCCCACCACCTTTCCTCCTCCAACTCAGTTCACAAAGCTCCCTGCTCAGCTTGGCCCAGGGCCCGCGTCACCTGCTCCAGGCAGCCTCCGTCCCTGCGCTCTGGTCGCTGTGCTCAGGGAGGGCGGGGACTTCGCAGCCAAGGGCCCGTCAGTAGGCGCTCGGGCTGTGCGTGGGTTTGCAGAGCAGGGGCCTGACCCCTGAGCTGGGGCCCCGCAACAGTGAGTGCTGTCATGTGGGGTCACGAGGTCACCAGTGCGCCCAGCCAGCTCTGTGCTCCTCTCTGGGCCCGGGACCGAGCGTGGGGTAGGCGGAAGAGGCCAGCTGCCCGGCCGCTGGCGCACAGAACAGTGGCCTGTAGAGGGGGCAAGGCCTGCTCGTGAAGCAGCACTTGGAAAGACGCCCCGGAGGGCAGCCTCAGCCCCTGATAATCAATCCCTCTTGCAGACCAGGCCCGGCCGTGGGCTCCCTGCCGGCCGTGGGGCCCCTCCTGGAACAGAATGTGCCAAGTGCCAGGGTCTGTTGAGCAGAGTGCTGGGCTCACCCACTTCTAGAGAGAGCCCGGGGCTAGAGAAGGGAACCCAGTCTGTCCTTGCCAGCACGACAGTGGCTGTTAGCCCCCCCACGGCCCATTGGGGGCTGGAGATGCAGGGTGCGGGATGTCTGCCCTACTCCAGCGGTGGGGGCCGGGCCTGTGCTGGGACACCGTGGGGAATGCAGAGGGCAGCCCCCTCTTCCGGCTTAATCCCGGGTTAATCGCTTGGGAGTAAGGAAAGGCAGTGTTTACACGGCCTTGCATTTGTTTCAAATTATTCATCAGTGTTGGCGAGTTATTGTTCCCCACTAGCGTAAACAGCCCTGTCACAGCGGCCCAGCCACCCTGCCAGGTCACTGGGGGCTGTGCGTGTGTGACACCAACTGCCCTTGGGTTCCTAGCCTTGGGCGAGGTGTGGCCGGGCCGGGCCAGATGGCGGCAGATGTGGGGCATCCAGGCCTAGCCCTCGGGGTTCCAGCTCTCACTTGTTTGCCCACCACTGAATCTTTCCTTGGGTCTTGGGGACCTCGACACAGGGCAGCTGAGGACCAAGGAGACAGGAAGAGCGACTGGCTGTGCCCCGGACCAGCTGCCAGTCAGGCCTCGCTGTCAGGCGCACCCAGGACCTGCCACAGAAGCCTCATAGTCGCGCTGGGCAGAGATGGACCCTGGCTACAGCTGGGGTTCACGGGGCACACGCACGCTGGATTCCACACAGCTCCCAGGAGGAGGGTGGGTGTTCGTGACATCGGTCTCCGCGCACTTCTGCCACTTGCAGCTTAGCCACGGGGGCAGAGACTCGCGCTCTGGAGCTGGACCTGGGGTTGGAGCCCCGCTCCTCCGAGCCACTGCGCGGCTGTGCTCAGGCCACTCCCCCTTTCTGAGCCTTGGCGTCCTCCTCCACACATCTGTCAGCAACACCATCTGTCACCTGGGCTGCAGAGGCTCTCACACTGAACTCTCGGGCCTTCTTGGCTTCGCAGTGGTGAGAGGGTGGGTGAGGAAGCATGGTGCCTGGCACTGCGCCATTCACTGGAACAGACGCTGCCCCCCAGCAAAGGTGATGCTGGCATGGAGCCTGCCGGGAGCCATCAGCAAGACTTCCAGGAGAAAGGCATTCAGAGTCGTAATCCCTGCCCCTCTTCCGGCTTCCTGGGTCAGACCCTCGGGCGCTGGGACTGATCCTAGGGCTGCTCACAGCGAGAGCCCCCATCCACAGGAGCAGTAGAGGCTGGTGGCCTTTAGTGTTCAGAGCTACACCTCCCTCCTCCGGCTGCCGCACGCTCACATCTGAGCTCGCCGGAGAATAATGGAGCGCCTCGCCGCAGGCCTCAAAGGCAGCTGTGGGCCCCTGGGTGGGAAAGGGGGCTGCTGTCCCCAGCCTAAATAAGACCCAGCTGACACGACTCCAGGGTGGAGCTGTCACCTGATTTAGCGCAGGTCACTCGACCTGCTCTTAACCTGCCCATATTTCAGGTCCCCACAGTGAAAGGAGCTGTATGAAATTTTCAGTGCCAAAGCACATTCACGCGTGCGTGCACGTGTATGTGCATGTGTGCGTGCATGTGTGTGTGTGTGTGTGTGTGTGTGTGCGCGCGCGCTGGGGATCGGCTAGAAGCAGCCAGTAGCTCACGTTGCCTTTGTGGTTTTATATATTTGCCTATTAAAATGACAATACAGCCATGGGACATTAAGGTTTAAGAAGCCCTTCTTTCATTAAACAAACTGACAGGGTAGGGGGTTATGGCTTGGGTAATTGAAACATGCTGTTCTGTTCAGGACCAGAACTCCATAAAGACTCTCCGCAGCCAGCGTACCCTTTGCGCCAGCGGCCAGAAGCGAGTCAGCCTCGGGGCCTGCTCTCCCTCCCGGGGAGTGGGAAAGACTCTTGGCAGCCTTCCTGGCAGGCCTGGCAGCCAAAGGTCAGGGCTTTTCAAAGCCTCTCCACCCGCCAGGCTTTTGAAATCTATCTCCAGGCCTCTCGGCCTCAGGATGGCACAGGCCACTCTGGACCCCGCTCCACATGGCTCTCGGGGTCCCGTGAAGAGGGGTGCTGGGCTGTGGCTGACGAGGCTTTCTTTGCTGGGGGAGACGGCGTGGGCTGCTCTGTCTTCCTAGAGATGGGGGGTCTGATGATGTTGGGGTGAGCCCAGGTTTGGAAGTCGGTCCCCCAGGCTTCAGTCCTGCCTCTGCCACTTACCACTAGTGGGATCTTGGACGAGTGACTTTGTTTCTCTGTCCCTGGGTTTCCTCATCTGTAGATGGACTAATACCAGGATCTGCCTGACAGGGCGTCTATGGAGACTCAAGAATATAACTTCGCAGAGTACACAGAAAGCAGCCAAGGTCAGCCAACATTACTGCTGTCGGAGCTGGCTATTTCTGTGAAGTCACTCTGAGGAGCGCCACTGTAGAGTATCACCGTGGAGTACTGTGGAGTATTTCTAGGGAGTACCACCGTGGAGCACTATGGAGGAGCATGGAGTACTTTCTGTGGAGGACCACCAGGGTGTGTATCCATGGAGTATTCTGTGGAGGACCACCATGGAGTACCATGAAGTGCTGTGGAGTACTTTCTGTGGAGTATCCCGGAGTGCTTCTGTGGCGTGCCACTATGGAGTACACCTGTGGAATGCCACTGTAGGGTTCCACCATTGTCCAGAACCATGCACAACACTATGCGGTGCTGCTGTGGAGCACCACCGTGGCGTACTTCCTGCAGTACCACTGTAGCACAGCACCATGGAGTCTCTCTAAGGCGTCCCTCCAGTGCAGTCCGGAGAAACTCCATCCAGACTTAATCTTTCTCCTCTTCTCTTTGTCTTCGCGCAGATGTGGACGAGTGTCAGGACAACAATGGCGGCTGCCAGCAGGTCTGTGTCAATGCCATGGGCAGCTACGAGTGTCAGTGCCACAGTGGCTTTTTCCTCAGCGACAACCAGCACACCTGTATCCACCGCTCCAATGGTGAGTCGGCCGGCTCTGACTGGCCCCGCCTCCCCGCCAGGCACAGGCGTCCCGGGAAACTCCTGCCCGCCGCATTCCAGGGCCTTAGGGTCTGGCGGGATTTGGGGGTGCCCCGAATGGCCGTTTTGTGCTTCTGCTGTTGGTTCTGCGTGAAAATCCTCCCGGCTCCTCTTCTCGCCAGCTGCACAGGCCGCTGGCGCTTCTCATGGTTCTGTGTGGAGACAAGGTGGAGCCACAGGTAGCAGGCGTGGCCGGGAGCTGTTGGCCTTTCTGGGGTGGGCTGGCTGTGGCCAGGAAGAGAGGAGCCCTGCTCGCCACATTCCCTTCTCAAAGAGAGCTCAAGGTCTGCCCAGACTGCGTGCCAGCCTCCCCTGCCTTGTCTGCTGCGTGCTCACGGGTCCTGGAGCTCTGGAGCCAGGTGCCGTGGCAGGCCTGCCTGGGGATGTGCCGGCGGGAGGGGCAGACCAGGCTGGGACCGAGCCTGCCACAGCCAAGCGTGCAGGCGAAGGCATCGGGGTCGGCACTGGTGGTCAGGGCCTGGGGTTTGGGCCTTGGGCAGCAGGCTGAGCTGTCAGGCAGAGCAGGATTTGAAAGAGAGGGGCGAGGCAGAGGGCACGGCACTTACTAAGGCGCTGGGCCATGTCTTGCGTCAGATGAGGTCTGGGCTCCTGTGTCCTGCAGCAGTGCACTGGGCCTGGCTGATGCGGGTGGCTGAGGGCCATGTGCCCCTCGCCTACTGCTGACCCTGGACAAGGAGGCTGTAGGCGCCAGGCCAGGTGGAGGCCTCCCCTAGCTGGAAGGTGAGGAGTGAAGAGGCACACACTGGACAGGGTCGTGGGACACAGGTGGCACCCAGCCCCTCCACTCCCGGCCGGGCTGCCCCTCACGCAGCCGCCTCGTCCACAGCGCGGGGACCGTGGTGTTGACTGACCGGAGTGTCGAGCAGGAAGGAGCCCTGGGTGCAACGCGCTGGCACCCACTGCGGCCCCAGGAGGCTGTGAGCGCGCCCGTAGGGGCTCAGGCCTGGTTTTTATTGCAAAACAGTTCCTGAGAAAGTAAAGGTGGAAACACTTACAAAGTACAAAGCTCAGGGTGAAAACAAAAAAGAGCCGCACGAACAGACCGCAGAGTTCACATCAGTGGCTCCAGAGGTTTCTTCACAGGCAAACCCGGCCTGCTGAGCCCTGGCCCTGCGGGTCCCCAGGAGGACACAAAGGCCAAGCTCTGGGGCTCCGGGGCACTCTCTGAGTCACAGCATGCAGCCCCCACGGCCTCTCCAGGCAGGCGGGAGGATGCCATGGTCCCCCCGAGCTTCCCGCCAGGAGGCAGCGGAAGGCAAAGGTGTGGGCCCTGGGCCCCAGCAGGGCTCTGTGAGAATCCTGTCTGCAGGAAGAGCAGGAACATGTGACAGGGAGAGGACCTCGCAGGACCACTGCCGCCCGCACTGTGGCATCCTCAAGGCCTGGCGTTGGAGCCTCTTTTCCGCCGGGCCACACGACCTGGGGGCCTGAGAGGAGCCCTTTCCCTGGGCGGGCGCTGGGGCCGTCGTGAGACCGCAGGCTGGAAGGAGGGCGTGCAGGAAGGGTCAGCAAGATCCAAGAGGACGACTGTGGCCATTTATCACTGCACCCCAGTTGGGCTTGTCATTATTTGCTGGGCTGAGGAGGGGAAAATCTTGGCGTCCACCAGGGCCTGGGGGAGAGGACAGCATGGGTGGCAACAACGGCAGACTGCTCATTAACCTCACAGCCACCCTTCAGGTGGTCAGGTGAGACCCCACTGACATGTGAGGGGGCCCAGGCAGGCTGGGGGCAGAGTCAGCCAACAGCCCAGTGGGGCTTCTGCTCAGGAGGCGATGAACTCAGAAGGATAGAAACAGGTGGCGGAACACAGTGACCAGGGCGGAGGGCCTGCAGAAAAGCCGAGTGCATGCTAGAAGCCAGTGATGAGAAGGAGAGGCATGGAGCTGTGGGGTATGGTATGCAATGCCAGGCATGTGCAAAGGTCCTGAGGTATAAAGGGATGGGCTGTGGGTGCAAAGCAGAGCAAGAGCAGGACCGTGGAGCACAGTGAGCAAAGCAGGAGGACCCCCAGATGCAGGGCACTTGAGGGCCCAACCGTTGTAGGGTTTGAGTTTGGTGTGCAGGACGGGTTCCTAGGGGAAGTCGAGAACTTCTGGGAGGTAGGATGGTGTGTTGCTGGTGGTGTTAGGCGCATGGCTCACCCTACCCAAAGGCTCCAGGGGCCAAATCCTGAGTGTGTGTGTGTGTGTGTGTGTGTGTGTTTTACTAGGCATGGAACCCAGGCCTACTCTATCACTGAGCCACAGTGGGTTTCACTAAGTTGCCTAGGGACTTGAACTTGTGATCCCCCTGCCTCAGCCTCCCACAGTGCTGGGACTATAGGTGTATGCACCATATCCAACCAGATCTGAATTTTAAGTGAAATAAGAAATTCATACTTAGCCAGAATATAGATGTGGGGGCCGCAACATGGGTCTGCGTGAATGGGTACTTCGGTGAAGAAGTCTCTTCTCTCATTAGTATTTTTGGGTGGAATCTCCCAGTTTTTAAATCTGGGCAACAAAGCCCTTCTGAAGAACAGCACAGAATGTGTCAGCCCCTTCCCAAGGCAAAAGCAGCAGCAGTCCCAGGGTCACAGAGGCTGTGGAAGGCCCAGAGGGGCAGGGCGGACACACAGGACAAGGGCCACCTGCTCATTAATTCTCCGGTGGGAACAGAGACTTGGGGCCGGAGCAGGTCGTCCCCCCGTCCAGCCCTCTGCCTGTTGTGACGTCAGAGGTGCCAGGACAGCGCTTGTTTTGCGCCCAAGTAGCATCTGATTCCCGCGGCTCCAGAGCCCTTTGGCAAATTAGATTCCTGCTGTCCCCGACTCCCAGGACCTGCACAGCTCTCTGGGGCCTCACAGAGCTGGGGAAACATGCAGACTGTTTCTAATTAGGGGCAGCCGGATGTGTGAGAGGGGTCAGCCAGGGTCAGTCCAGGCTCCTGGCCCAGAAAGGCCGCCGTCACAGACCCTAGCCCAGTCTGGGTGGGGAGCGCAGGGTCCCCAGCTCCAGCTCGCCCATGGTCCTGGCCACGTTCCTGCCTCTCTGGGTCTGCAGCCGTGCAGGGGCCCAGTTCTCCCTCCTGGCAGGTGAGGGACGCACAGGAGGAAGCTTCAAAGCAGTCAAGTGCAGGACCTGCCCTAGGGAAGGGGCAGACCCAGGCAGCGGCAGTTTTGGGTCTGGATCCGGCAACACGACCAGGCGGCTCGCTATCCCTGACAGGTGGGAAAGGACCCACAGCCATTGGCATCCGGCCTGTTCCTCGGCTCAGCGCTTCCTAGCACTGGTTCCAGCTCCAGGGCAGCCACACTCACCTCGTCCTCAGCCCCGGCCCACAAGGGCTGGCAGTGCCCTCTCTGGCCACAGCCCTGACCCCTGCTGCCTGACTGCCATGGTCAGCGCCTTCTCACTCTCTGTTCCTCCGTCTTTGACATGTGCCATATCAGGCCCCCAGAAGGCACTGCCTCCCGATGAGCTTTGCTCTTTTCTCCCAATGAAGGTTCCTTTCCTCTCCTGCCTGACCAGTGCCGAGCGGGGTTGGAAAGGTCTCTGAAAGGCTTCCCCGCTGTGGGACCGCAGCTAGGATCCCCCTGTGGGGGCACCCACGCAATCCTGTGCCAGGCCGTGGAAGGTGCCCGGTCCAAGGTGCTAGCTTTCAGTCTAGACAGAGACTGGACACTACGGAAGGGCCTGGCAGTTCCTGTGTCACGAGCTTCGGAGGAGCCCACAGGGCTCCTGTGGCTTTGGTTGTCTCGTCTGAGTGTGGGCCGTCTCCTTGTCGCTGGTGCTGCTTGTACCCGCCCTGTCCTGGCCGCCGGTAGCCGAGGGGCTGTGGTTAGAGACGCCCAGGTCCTCGCACAGGCCTCTGTCCCTCGGGGCTGTGCCCCGCAGCCTCACAGCTGCCTGCTGTGGCCCAGCCTCAAAGGAGCGTCGCAGCGTGTCCTTCCTGCAGGCAGCCCAGCCCCAGGGGACCTGGGTTTTGCTTTGTTTAGTCTTGTTTCTTTCTGAGACACTGTGTCTCAGTACAGTACGCAGGCCAGCCTTGAACTCGGGCTGCGGTGATCCTCCCACATAGCCGGGACCAGGCAGGGCAGGGCAGGGCAGGGCACTCCGTGTGGGGGGAGAGTGATGCAGCTCCGGCCAGATTCCGAGGTGGGGGCCGGGAGCAGAGTCTCATGTGTGTCCCTTTGATGAGGTGGCCGTGACGGTGATGGACAGAGTGCCGCACGCACGGCTGCGCCGCCTCCCCCCACACCATCTTCCGGCAAAGCAGAAACTGGGCACTGAGAGGAGGGGACTTGTGCGAGGTCGTGGGTGGCACGGGGGCAGCACCCTGCAGTGTGGCCACCAGCCCAAGCCTGCTGGTGCAGAGGGCAGACTGCGCAAGACCCATGACCCCTCTCCGTGGTGGCCCAGGTGACGCAGCAGATCCTTCCTGACAGGGCCATCCGAAGTTCCGCCAAGGTGCGCCTCGTCAAGGCCCGAGGGCTCCAAAGCCGTTTTGCAAAAATGTCTCGCACACTAACCCTCTGTCTGCTGACAGCCGCCGTTGACCTGGCCTCCCTTCTGCCACAATTTAGAGTTTTTGTCATGAACTCAGTTACAGAGACATCACCCCTCTTAGAGGGAGAAAACCTCTGTTAATGTTTGTCCCTTGCTAGATACCCCGGGTCTGGGCATGAAGTGAACGTTGCCCTCTGTCGCCGCCCCTGATAGCTGTCACGTTCCGCTGTCTTAGGGTGGGTCTTGCTCTGGAGTGCGGCAGTCCAGGTTTCCAGAGACTTCCTGGTCACAGCTGGAGGGGCTCTGGATTTGCGGGTAGCTGTTGGCCTTCAGGATGCCGTTTTTGCTGATTTTTTGGTACGCAGCTGTGCTCTGCACAATTGGCTTGTCTGAAAATGGTTTCTAGGTAAACTGGACTTAGTTTGTGCTT